TCCAATGGGATGAAATCTAAACAAAAGTTTTTATTCAAAAGTGTTTTAGATTTAGTTTAATGATGCAGTCAGAGAGATGAGTATAAAATCACGTAAGGCAAAAAAAAAACAAAAAAAAAAAAACCTACAGATTGCTTGTAGCAATACTTCTTGATTTATTTATTGCATTTTCTTTAAAATGAACAACTAAACTACTATCATTTTCAAGATGTATTTCTGCCATCTAAAAAGCTCTTTGTGTGCTGAGGGATGTGAAAGCATCAATTTGTCTTCTATACAAAGTCAATGTTCAAACTTCTCCTTATCCATTGACCATGAAGTCCATGCTACTGTACTCTTAGTCACATTAGTGCAATATTTTACATGCTCATCTACATTAATAGGCAGACCAAGGCTTAGATGGATGGATCATGTGGGGAGAAGATCTACAGGAGCTGGGAATCCAAGCATGGAAGAGAAAAAGCATTAGTTTGGCTTGAGTGGAAGGAAGCAGTGTGGCGTCCACAGCCCTACATGGGCTGTAGTGCCACAGGGATGGATGGATCTGCATTAATGATGATAAAAATATAAATGTTATCAATTTGATTTATCTTGCGATGCTCAGTTTTGCAAGATTGCGGATTTTCTGCCCACATTTCTGTATTCATAATAGATAATATTTCACAATTAAAAGATAAGTTCTGATCAGGGGGTTTCACTTACAGTATATTTTTAAATACAAAGACAAACACCAGTATTAAAGTTATAAATAAAACAGAAATTATTTAACTATTATTGAAAAAAAATTTAGAAGAACGTTTTTTTTTTTAAATCATCAAATATAATGTAAAAAAATTTCACTTAGAACTTTGTTAAGTTTGAAGTGAAAACACTAAGCTAATATTAAAATTAAAAAAGAAATAAAATATTTTTTTAAAAAAGATGCCAGCCAAGAATGAAGCATGAATAACATTTCATCAGATCATTTGGCAAATTATTCAACTGAAGTTAGGTGTTGATCAAATGGGGGCTTTGTACCAGAGACCATAATGTTTAACTTGGCACTAAAACAGATTGTTGAGAAATAGAGGAACCCCTACCTGATTGAAATTGAAGTGATTTATAATGGATTGAAACAAACAATCTATGTACACACACACAGACATACCCTGAAACACACATGCCACATCACTGCCTGCCTTGGCACATCTTTTGAAATCTGCATGCATATACATATACACACACACACACACACTACCAGACACATGCACCATCCAATTAACTAATTCCAACATCCGGCAAAGAAATGAAACATCAAACTAGGCTAATCTGAAATAACACCTCATACTAGGCTAATCTGAAATAACACCTCATACTAGGCTAATCTGAAATAACACCTCATACTAGGGTAATCTGACGTAACACCTCATACTAGGCTAATCTGAAATAATACTTTATGCCATTCTTATCACAGCAAAAAAACAAATTTTTGCAAACTTGATTTTAGACATAAATCCCCAAAATTTAACACAATTTCGTTGTATTATTATATAAACAAAGAGTGCAACACTTTGGTATTACAGAGGTTTACATTAACAAAGACCCTCTAAGAAAGTGTTGACAACTATTGCACAATGACATATCATTACAAGAAACTCCTATGTACAACACACTACCATATGCAATTTCATGCATAAAAATAATCTTGCACAACTCAAATAGGGTTTTATCCATTCAAGTTTGAAACCAGAAGAAAAATATACCCTGTAAAGCTCTAAAAATATCCATCACATGCATAAAAAAAACAAAGGTTTGTACTACTTATTTATGAGCTTATTTTTGGGAATATTAGCGCATAGTCTGAAAAATTACAGCATCATTCAATAGTCAAGCACAGCATTTTACAATTTTTAAAAAAAATTGTTTAATTTAAAAAAAAAAGAAAGGTAGAGTGGCGAATAAACTTAATAGAGTGAAAATGTACAAACATTGACCTCATTAAGAAACATATGTTTTCATTGCTGTTTTTTTCAATTGCTTATAAACTCATCTATAAACTCATCTATAAACTCATCTATAAACTCATCTTTAAACTCATCTATCAACTCATCTGTAAACTCATCTATCAACTCATCTATCAACTCATCTATAAACTCATCTATAAACTCATCTGTAAACTCATCTGTAAACTCATCTGTAAACTCATCTATCAACTCATCTATTTACTCATCTATAAACTCATCTGTCAACTCATCTGTCAACTCATCTGTCAACTCATCTGTCAACTCATCTATCAACTCATCTATAAACTCATCTATAAACTCATCTGTAAACTCATCTATAAACTCATCTATCAACTCATCTGTAAACTCATCTATCAACTCATCTATAAACTCATCTATAAACTCATCTATAAACTCATCTATCAACTCATCTGTAAACTCATCTGTCAACTCATCTATAAACTCATCTATAAACTCATCTATAAACTCATCTGTCAACTCATCTGTCAACTCATCTATCAACTCATCTATAAACTCATCTATAAACTCATCTATAAACTCATCTTTAAACTCATCTATCAACTCATCTTTAAACTCATCTATAAACTCATCTGTAAACTCATCTATAAACTCATCTATAAACTCATCTATAAACTCATCTGTAAACTCATCTATCAACTCATCTATCAACTCATCTATAAACTCATCTATCAACTCATCTGTAAACTCATCTATAAACTCATCTATAAACTCATCTGTAAACTCATCTATCAACTCATCTATCAACTCATCTATCAACTCATCTATAAACTCATCTATAAACTCATATATAAACTCATCTATCAACTCATCTGTAAACTCATCTATCAACTAATCTATCAACTCATCTATAAACTCATCTATAAACTCATCTATAAACTCATCTGTAAACTCATCTGTAAACTCATCTGTCAACTCATCTATAAACTCATCTGTCAACTCATCTGTAAACTCATCTGTCAACTCATCTATAAACTCATCTATAAACTCATCTATAAATTCATCTATAAACTCATCTATAAACTCATCTGTAAACTCATCTGTCAACTCATCTGTCAACTCATCTGTCAACTCATCTATAAACTCATCTATAAACTCATCTGTAAACTCATCTATCAACTCATCTATCAACGCATCTATCAACTCATCTATCAACTCATCTATAAACTCATCTATAAACTCATCTGACAAGTTAAAGATCAAGTAGACAACAAGAAGCATAAACCTAAACAAAACTAAAACTTTACGGCCAAGAACTTAAAATGAGCAGAAAACTGGAATGAATCCTAGAACTGACCATCCAGTGGTTCCCAAAATTGTGGTTTGTGGCAAAAACAAAAATTCTTGAAAGCTCTGGACAATAAAAACATAGAATTAAGAAATAGGTTTATAAAATCTGATTTTCTAAAAAAAAAAAAAACTTAATCAATTGGCTAAAAAAAAACAAATAAAAAAAAAAAAAAAAAAAAAAAAAAAAGTTTAAAAAAAATAAATTTAAAAAAAAAAAAAAAAAAATAAAAAAATGAATAAAAAAAAAAAAAAAAAAAAAAAAAAAAAACTGACAAAAATCTGGCCAAAGCTGAAAATTTAAACAAATGTTTAGAAAATTCATTACACTGTACCCTGTATTGTATTGAATATTTCCCATATTATATATATATATATATATATATTATATATACATGTTTGTAATTTTTACAAAACATTTTCTGAGAGAGCACAATTCAGCAGCATTAAATGTTTTTTGTTTTTGAAATTTAAAATAGAATCCTGACATTGTAGCATTCATGATTTCATTGAGCAGAAATGTATCTGGGATTCAATCCCCAAATAGCAATTCTAGCAAACCCAGTGAAGCTAACTAGCAAAATTTTCTGTTCAAATAACCAGATAAGCACCATGAGCTTTTAAATTTTAGAAGCACATTTTACAGATACACCACTGCTGGTGGAGGGTTGAACAAAAAATGAAGATGAAAAATTGAGGGTGGATAGAAGTTAATAAAAACATAATGATGGAAATATATGGTAAAATGGTTGACAAAGAGAAAAATGACTTGAACTTGCTATAAGTACAAATATTTATAAATTCTACATATTGATATTTATCCACTAAGCAACATCATATCACTGTAACCGTCCTAATAAATAAGAGCCCCAATGACGGCATGATAACACGTTGATTATCAAAGCCAGAAATCACAGTTTAAAATTAAAGAGAGATGATCAACAAACAAAGCGGGAGATATTAAGATAGTGATTATTCTTGAGAAAAGGAAGATAGGCACACAAAAAGAATATTTAATTTAAATAGTCATAGTAAGTAGAACAGAATAGTCTTTTGATTGATTATGTCATGTGATTCTTTCAGGGTTTTTTTTATAAGTGGTTCTTGCTTTCCAACTTAAGAAAAATAAATTCCAGAGGAATGTTAACAGCAAAAAAAGTATAGCAATTTAAAGTTTTAATTTAAAACAGTTTCAAGCAAGTTAATCTTTAACAAAGTTATAACAAATTTAGCATTTATTCATTTTAGGAATGTTTTTTGTTTTTAAATAACAGATTCTGCTTGATTTGTATTAAAAGAGGGCCAAAATCATTGCTCCTGCTCAGGCTTTTCAACACCAGCTATCATGTCAATGTTAAATACAACAGACCAATGAGAAGCGGGACTTGAATAGAGGATGAAGGAGTTGGGATATTAGTGCAATGCTCTACACCATTTCAATGAGAATTTCATACAAAACAATTTGATTTGCATTGAAAGGCATACAGTTAATTAAATAAGTTAAAAATTAAAAAAAGAAAAAAAGTTAAATCACATTTTTTTTTTTTTTAAACTGGTGTCGAATCATAGGAGAAAATGGCAAATCAGTTTGAATTTGGTAACTGAAATTTTGAAGGGTAAAGCTCGAATTAATTGTGTCATCAAGGCAGAAATAATATCAATCAGAAACAGAGCAGAATGCAACTTTGTGTATTAGAATTTATATATCCACAACATAACACAAGCTCCTTCTGTTTTGGCTTGGCTCCTGGAATAGTCCAGATCACAATAACCGTCGCCTCCACTCAGCAAGATGACTGCGTTGTTACTGGCTTTGCGGGACATCGTCTGCCTGCTCAGACCACTTCTGGCAAGAGTTTTACCTTTGAGCGGACCAGAATCATTATCTCTGAAACTGCTTGCAGAGGACGAGGACGTGCATGGGCTCTGGGAGGCCGCAGAATCACGCGGCGAAAGATTTGATACGGATGGATCGGTGTCTGGCGGGGGTTCTTGGTGGGTGTTAGGGGACATGTTGAGCCATGATGGCAGAGCAGATTGACCACTCGAGCTACTGGACGAGGGGCTTAGTATATTTCCCACATTCTGGCTTTCCAAAGACACGCCTGAAATGGCAGCATTGTTCATGTCACCAGACATCTCGCCTCTTTCATGGCTGTCCTCCAGCAACACATCGCACAGCTGCTCCAGCTCTCGTATATCCTCTGCCTCTGATGGCTCCGACTGCTCTATTCGCTCATCAAGCTCAGAGCGAAACGACAGGGTCTTACTCCTCCTATCGGTCTCAGTTATCCTCCTGTTGTTTCTCCTTAGCGCAAACCTACTCTCATCAAATGACTTCTGTCGACTGGTATTTCTGTTCTTGGACAATAGATTGCGGTCTGCTGGGCTGCACTTTGGTGTGTCTGGCTGTGAGTCGCAGGGGGGCTCGACTGCATATAACTGTTCTTTTGACCCTGACTTCTCTTCCCAAGCAATGATTTCCTGGGCCTCCTTGTCGGTCAGCAGAGGTGTCGTATTTGACCTCAGACTGTCAGTACTGAACATTGTGGTTGATAAATGAAAACCAACATTTTTTACACCAGCTGCAACCGCCTCTGTGCTTTTTTCTGTCTCTTCCGGAATATTTTGTTCACCTGGCTCTGTTTGTTCTCGTTTCAAATTTCTCAGGCTTGGCCTTGACCTCAGGTACGACCTCAGAGAGCTGCCCCTGTTCAGCTCGATTGTGCTGGTAGAGCAGCTGAGAGGAATAAGAAATTTGACTGGCCCTTTGTGAGCATGAAGTGAAACACGGGGTCGGCCGCGGTACAAGGGGACACCACCGCTGGAAAAAAACAAAACAAATTCATATTCTGTCAAGTAGGGAGATTCCATAATAATCCATTAACATCATCTTAAGAAAAATTAAAGCTTGTGTCACAGGAGTGCTCATCAGAATTTTATCTTTTTTCATTGATTTAGTTTTAATTTTTGATGACATGTCACATATTCTGATATCGTTATTACTGTTACACATAACAAAAGATTAAGTCCTGAAATGACTGATAAATAAACAAGGTTCAGCAGGAAAATTGTGAAGCAATGGAAATAGGTTATTCTGTACATAATTAAATTAATTTTTTTTTTTTAATCATTTAAAAAAATATTAAAAATTTGATAAAATATATGAAAGTTGAAAAAAGATATACTTCAAATAGTATGAGCATTACAAAAATTATACGACTAGACATATCTCTTACTTTTAATAATAATAACTATTTGTATAAAATTTGTTATAAATTCAACAACTCAAATTCTGTTAAATTTAGATGTGTGCTCTGTAACCAAGAAAACCCTGTGAAGGTGAAGCACAGCAAATAAGTTACTGGCACTGGCTTCATTTAAGAAATTTTAAGATGTTACGCTCCCAACCAACTGAAGACCGGAAAGACAGAGGCCAACAGAGCACTACTCACCTGAGACGAGGTAAAGGTACTGTCAGCACAATACCAGAGCACTACTCACCTGAGACGAGGTAAAGGTACGGTCAGCACAATACCAGAGCTGGTTCCTATCCACAAGAGTCCCTTGCTGGTGGCCAGGCTGGTGACCACCATGTTCTCTGTGGCTCCACTCAGTGACCACAGCCTCTCTGTGAAGACAAATGTATGTTAGATTGGGAAAAACTCAACCATTCAAAATTATATAAATATATATGTATGTTTGTGTGTTACAGGGAAAGCTTTGGGGTGAGATAAAAAATAATCAACAAACATTTTCATTCATAAGTGTATATCAGCTGCAAGTCATTTTTAGCATTTACAATAGTTTTTTGGTAAATGAGGAAATATTTATCCCAATACTCTGGATGTATTTTACGGTATATATAATTTTTCTATCTCTCAACAAAATCCAAAGTTTTGTTCACTAAAATGTGTAATAGTGAATATACTCTTGCTTATGTTATAGCCCGTGTGTTGACCTAGTTTTGTTAACCGATTGGTGTTGAGCCGTGGCATGCAACCTCACCTCCCCCTTTGTTTTTTGTTACTGACATTACCAATAAACTCTCAACTGTGACCGGCAGACATTTACGAGACTTACCAGAGATACAAGAGACCTTACAACTTTTCACCTGTGTGTGTGTGTGAATTTATATTTGTACCTTTCTAGTGTTAAACATTTTTGACTTGATGTGCTGTAAGTTAATATAGTTTTTCTTTTTGTATACTTGATTTTTTTTATTTATCAACTTAATAATATAATTAAATTGATCATTGATCCATCGCTAGCTTTGGTATGGTCTTTCTTTGTATACTGGTCTTCAGTTCTTTGGGACGTATCGTTCGTCTAACGAGCCAAATTTAAAACTACAGATTAACTTAGTGAAACGTCATAACGATTATATAACACTTACTTATGTGAGAAATAATCAAAATATTTTTTTCAGGAAAGCTCATTATTAAAGAGGGGCTGTTCATCTGGCTCTCCAGAACACTTATCTGCCGGACCGACGCACTGGGGTGTCAGGATTCAAGTGAGCCAATGGCTGACACACAGCGTAACAAAACAAATCTAATTCTAAATTGTTGAATGCCTCACTTTGAAAGCGGGGAATGTCAGTCCCTAGTGCTGAGACTAAAGGTCTACCTGCACGGATCCTGTTGAGGAAGTTGCCAACACTCAGCTCCTGCAGGTTCTCCATGCTCTCAATGTGGAAAAGTTTGATGACAGAGCTGTCATGGAACGCCACCCACAGACCCACTCCCGACTTCACCACAGAGTCAATGGCAGATTCTTGCTCTGTCATCAAGGTATGCTGAGCCTTGGGGGGGTGAAAGTGTAGAAGGAAGTTATGCAATGTCTTCATTAATTGTTAAAAATATATTTGCATTAATATTCAAGAGACTAAAATAAAATAGATGCATTCTATTACTTCCAATGCTTGATACTTGCATTTAAAATTAAAAATTTAAATATGATCTCACCTGTGACATTATAATTCATGGAACCCTGTAAAGAAACTCATGCTTTAATAAATGCTAATTATTAGTAAAGAAAGGTGTATGAGATGGTTGTTTGAAAAGTTGTGAGCCAATAAAACACTTTACCGTCAGCTGTAGACTGTCAGTGTCGAGCAAAATCAGCTGATTTCCACAAGAGAGGTAGAGATCTTCCTCGTGCACAAAATGGATCTTCACAAAAGAAATGCCAAACTCCATGTTGGCTGGGGTCAGTGTTTCCCAGTTTCCCTCTGAAAGTAGATGTAAAACAAATGTCATAGAATAAGTGCCAACAGGTTTCTATCGCAAATTCCATTCAGCTCACACAAATAAGATGACATGACGCGAAATGGACAAAAAAATTCTCTAATATTTATTTGTGCAGCATTGGTTTAGTTATAAAAAAATATTAAAAAATTAACTACAATGACTTTAAAATACTGTACAGCAATGAGACTATATCTACAAGATTTACATAGGCCTATAGCAGTATTTTTTATTTATGATGGTGAATACACACACCGAAAAAAATATATAAAATTATTCTGGATCTGCGAGATTGCTGAAAATTGTGATCTGTTGGATTGCTGAAAATTTTGTGATCTGCTAGATTGATGAAATTTGTGTCCTAAATACCTTTTTATTTTATAGGCTTTGTTCCAAATTACTTTAAACTTACTTTCGTGGCGTGAGTACACGGCCATGACACCATTATTACAGCCACAGAAAAGCCTCTCATCAACAAATTTTAGCGACACAACAGCTGCCAGTGTTCTCAAAACAGCCGTAGCACTCCTGTGAACTCCATCGGAACTTGTCAGGGGAAAAATCAGGATTCTATGAAGAAGACAAAAGTTGTTTTTTTTTTTCCACACTATTTGTACATAAAATACCTTTGTTGATATGTTTTGTAGTAGAAATATAAATGGCACATAAATCTACCTTCACTGTTCAAGTATGAACAATTCAAGTCAATGGCCTCCAACTTTTGTTCTTCATGTAAATATGAAATATCTTAATGAGAGCTTTTTTTTTCTTTTTTTTAAAATTACACCTTTAGTGTGCAACTTCAAAATAATCAAGGATAATATTTGTATGAATTCAAATATAATAATATGAGATATTACTAGCTCAATTATCTGAACATAAGATAAAAATTAAAACCAACACAAGACTCCTTACCATGTAACACTGAAGTTACAAAAACTTACTCATTAATAGCAGTTGACACCCAAACAGTGTCCTCAGCGAAGATGTAGTCTTCAGGCACAGTAAGAGTTCCAAAGCCAGGTACCATCTCTACTGCTGTGATCTCACACGTGCAGGCACTGGGTGAGCACCGCACACAAAAAAAGACAATTTAGATGAAGAAAGGTACTGGTCAAAAATTGGTCAATCAGATTAAATCAAAAAGTTTAAATTTTTAATTTTAATTACCCTGCCAAATACTCAGATGCTATTAACACTTTCTCAAAAAAACAAATTTTTAGATTAAATTAATTTATTTTTTAAAATAATAATAAAAACAATGTAAAACACTGGTTTCCCCCATGCCATATTTTTCTTGATACTGTCATGGCTGTTGGGATTTTAATGAAAAATACAAAGTTGAAAGGAGGGTAGTCTTCATGAAGCTTTAAAATCATGGGGAGATTTTTTAGACTTTCTAAAGTTCAGAATTTAAATTTTTTTTTTTTTCAGTTCCGAGGAATTAAAGTTTATGTTGTTGTTTGAATAAGAATGTCAGCATTGGGTTAAAGTTTGTTTATTTTCCTTAGAAAACTTACTTAAAAGATTCCATCAGTGAGGGTCTGGAATTCTGTATGGACAATACGGATATCTGTCCAAGGTTTGGAGACGATGAGCAGACCCAGAGGTGCTGAACGCCGACACTGAAAGTGGACTTTTCAGGGCTCAAGAAGGTGGACACTGCACATTTGATCTTAAATGAGGAGAAAAACAAATAAAAAGTTATCTCAGTTTATTCAAGTTCTTAAAGTATAAGAGGAGTGCACTGCAAAGTTTCTTGGTTTCTCCTTTCACAAGGCTTCTTTTTCTCCTTTAAAAATGAAACACCAACCCATTTTCTCTGAAGGGAATCTTGGAGAGGAAATGAAGGCTGACCTTTGTGTAGCTTCTGCGCACATCCACGAGGAGATGCTTCATAAATTGAGCTGGTATGATGTCACAGGTGTCATCGTCACTGTTGATGGTGCCGTCCCACGCTGGCATGTTGGCCTTGTCCAGAGCCAGCTTGGCCATAAGGAAGTCCACACACCAGTCTTGCTTGATGGATGACGTCTCAGTATGGATAACATAAGTGACAGGCTTGTCTGATCTGGAGATAAATAATGGTGTAGTATATCTTATAACTATTAGAGCAAGTTGACTGAGCTAATTAACACAACTGTGATTGAGCTGATAGTTCATGTACCGTCAACTGTGGTTGAGCTGATAGTTCATGTACCTAATGGCCAAGCTGGCTCTGGACAAGGCCAACAGCCACACAAAAATAAGACTGAGCTATATCCACTAAGACATATGGTGAACAATCGTTCTCTTTTTGTGCCCCCAAACAATGGTATTCTCTCCCATGACACATCCCCAATGTACCGACCATCCCTTCAAAACTGACCTCAAGACCCATCTCTTAAAACTCTACAATACCAACTCATTCCCCCCCCCCTTCTTCTAACTAATAAACAACGCTGCTGGGTGCTGTCCATGGTTGGACAAGGGTAGATAGTACTTGGGTGGATGAGGTTAAGCTTTTAACAAATTGTTTTTAAATGTCTAATTTTCTGTAATTGCTAAGTTTTATGTGAAGCGCAGTGAGCCTAGCCCTAGGCTGGAGTACTGTGCTATATAAGGACAGCTTAATAAGAATAATAATGATATAATGTTAATGGACTACTTTAAAAACAAATATATTAGTTAATTAATTAAATTTGATATCTTGATCACAAAATTTTGTTTTTCTTGTGTGTCTGTTTGTAAATTTTTCTCAGAAGCCCAAGGAACATGGCTTCCAGGAGCAGGAGCCTAGGGCTTAGAGTAAGATTTAAATGATCATGAGAGTGAAAGGCAGGCTAATGAAGGGTTGACAGTTATGACATAGCGGACATCACTGAAATCTGAGCCCAAGCATGTTAGGCCTAGTGTGGACAACACCTACTTGGATTTATCTTCAAGAACTAATGAGCAGCTATTGACCAGCCGCAGCTGCTCGTCTTTTAGTTGGATCATGCGCTGCAGGTCCCTTGACACTTCATGGATTAGCTCCTCATTGAGCCCCTGAAAACAATCAAGTGGAAAATAATCAACTTTACTATAATTTCTCGTGAATGCTTGAAAAGATAAACGGGTTGGACTCAGACAAATCTTTTCAGTAGATTAATGAGATTAAGTGTAAACAAAACAATATTTCTTAAGCTTTAATTGTGATTACACAAAATACAAATTCAAACTACTCAGCAAATGCCTTCATCAGTACAGCAAAAAAATTTTTTTTATATAAGCATAAATTAAATTTACATAATATATATATACATATAACCTTCCTATACCTAAAAATGAAAGAAAAGAATAAGAATGGGCACAAGTCCCTAATGAAAACTTGGTAGTTGATTTTGCACTGGTAAGCATCCACACTGCATCATAGCATATACTTGGCAGAGATTTATTTTACTCAGGGTTTACACATCCCCAAGACACATTGATTTGACCAGCTTGGACATGGCTGAGGACAACCTGGATGTAGGGCTTGCTAGGCAGACAATGCTACCTTTGAGCCACTGGGCCGCCATAGGAAGACAATGCTAACCTTGAGCTACTGGGCCTCCATAGGAAGACAATGCTACCATTGACCCACTAGGCCGCCACAGGAAGACAATGCTACCATTGAGCTACTGGGATGCCATAGGAAGACAATGCTACCATTGAGCCACAGGAAGACAATGCTACCATTGAGCTACTGGGCCGCCATAGGAAGACAAAGCTACCATTGAACCACTAGGCTGCCATAGGAAGACAATGCTACCATTGAGCCACTGGGCCTCCATAGGAAGACAATGCTACCATTGAGCCACTGGGCTGCCATAGGAAGACAATGCTACCATTGAGCCACTGGGCCTCCATAGGAAGACAATGCTACCATTGAGCTACTGGGATGCCATAGGAAGACAATGCTACCATTGAGCCACAGGAAGACAATGCTACCATTGAGCTACTGGGCCGCCATAGGAAGACAATGCTACCATTGAACCACTAGGCTGCCATAGGAAGACAATGCTACCATTGAGCCACTGGGCCTCCATAGGAAGACAATGCTACCATTGAGCTAATGGACTGCCATAGGAAGACAATACTACCATTGACCCACTGGGCCGCCATAGGAAGACAATGCTACCATTGAGCCACTGGGCCGCCATAGGAAGACAATGCTACCATTGACCCACTGGGCCGCCATAGGAAGACAATGCTACCATTGAGCCACTGGGCCTCCATAGGAAGACAATGCTACCATTGAGCCACTGGGCCGCCATAGGAAGACAATGCTACCATTGAGCCACTGGGCCGCCATAGGAAGACAATGCTACCATTGAGCCACTGGGCCGCCACAGGAAGACAATGCTACCATTGAGCCACTGGGCCGCCATAGGAAGAAAATGCTACCTTTGAGCCACTGGGCCGCCATAGGAAGACAATGCTACCTTTGAGCCGCTGGGCTGCCATAGGAAGACAATGCTACCATTGAGCCGCTGGGCTGCCATAGGGAGACAATGCTACCATTGAGCCACTGGGCTGCCATAGGAAGACAATGCTACCATTGAGCCACTGGGCCGCCATAGGAAGACAATGCTACCATTGAGCCGCTGGGCTGTCCACGCCCAACCCCCATCCTCCCTAAAACTAAAACAGTTGACCGTCCATGTCAGTGTCCTTACATGCCCTGCGTAGGATCGTTTAAGGGTGCCCATCAGTCCACTAATCTGACTCAGCACTGAGTAGTCATGTAACATCTCGGTCAAATCTGCATACAGATGAAATGGGTCATCTTCAGGCTTTTCTGAAAAAAAGCAAAGCAAACAAGAACAAAATTACAATCTTCTTTTCAAAATAATTTTTACAATTAAATTCACAAGAACACAAACATTTTTTCAGACTTATTTCATGCTGTTGAATTGTGGCAAATTTTATTTACAATCAAATGTAATTTTCTACATTGTTATCTCCACCACAGTCCAAACAACTTTTAATATCTACATTTAAGCAGAGAGGCATACAGATCTGTAAGTGCACTTCCAACCTACCCAGCCTTGATGAGATGATGTCTATTTTATCGGACTCCCTTTTTACTTCGGTCAGCATCTCCGGCGTTATTGCCGTTTCTTTCAATTCCAGATCTCGAAGGTTTGCCATCCACCTGAGGCCCAATTTTTCTATGACAAATCCCGATTGATCTCTGTGGAAACAAGTTGTAGGGGGGGGGAAAGATAATCTATGCTGACTGACAAGTACTGTGTGTTAAACTTTTCTTTTTTTTTTCTTTTTTTGTATTCTCATTCAATTATGTAAGAAAGAGTTTGTTAAATCTATAAAAAAAAAAAAAATTTAAAAACTAGTTACAGCTTATAAAAATATTTTTCTCTTCTCCAAAATTATTATGTAAGATCATATGCATTTGTTTTTGTTCACACAATAGTGAGATATTTTGTAATGTTTGGGACTGAAAACTGGGTTGAAAGGTTGAATTTATTTACTTTTTAAAAAAGGGGGGGGACCCTTTAAAAATATTTCTTTATATTTAAAATTTTTTGCTATTTTAATGAAAACAAAATCATACGTTAAGAAATGTTGTGTCAGGATTTCATTATTGGACTTTCGTTATTATTATTATTATTATTACTATTATTATAATCACTATAATTACTATCACTATTATCATTATTAATATTATTATTATTACTATTATTAACTAATTATAAAAAGTGTTTTTTTCCACTTTTCTTTACTTTGTTTCTGTCTGTTTTTTTCGCCCACTCCTATTTTTTCTCCTCTTTTTAGGTAGGATATATGCATATATATAATATGTGAATTTAATTTATACTTATTTGTCTTTTTGTTGATGAAGGCGTGTGTTGAAACGTAAACTTTTGTACTCTGTAAAATTATTTTAAAGCTTACCTTAAATTGCTTTATTGACACAAATTGTTGGTGTCAAATTAATTTACTATTATTACTACTAGAATAAATGAACCGATGTTATCGGGATAATAATGGTAGGTCCTTTGCGATAATTTCTAACTGCTATTGCAAAAACTCATCCCAATTCATAACTTTTAAAATGTAATGATATTTATGTTTCTAACATCATTAAGTTTTTAGAAGTGTTTATCTGCTATATATATAATACGCGTAAACTACATCCTTTAACGCTCCTAAAATACTTTACCCCCTCTAAACATGACCTTAAATTACCCAGTCTAAATTATCACTAATTATATCACTTTTGTCACTAAAGAAGTTAATGGAGGGACAATTACAACGCTACAGAAATATTTTAGATTTACCCCTTTTCGTGCCCTTGAATTACAACTTTTTTCTCTCAAAATTTTTTAAAAAACCTAATCTTAAATTTACAACAAAAACTCTCTATATGATATAAATATATTTTGTATAACAGGAATTCGATAATATTGATATCTTCTTCAAAAATTTAAACACATTTTTGCCTTTTTTTAAAAATTATACATTATCAGAAAATCGTAAAACAAAGAATTATTTTATCTAAGAAGAATCTTGCAACTGTTTTTCAAGGCTATGTCAGATTTGACTGTCTTTTAAAAAAATTTAAATTGTTAATCTCATAAAAATACACCCCTCTTTACTTATTGCAAAGTAAAAACAAAAAAATATTTTCAATTTTTAAAAAAAGAAAATATTAACCCATCTTCATTAGTCAAAATTTAATTTTCAAGTGTGTAAAATGATTGGGTTTTGATATATGATATATATTTTGATATTATATAAATGTACCCAAGGTTTGTTAACGCCATTGATTTTCTTAATTGGTTAACATATGTTTCACAACTGTAATACCATAGGATTTAAATTTATTGTCATCCACGTAAAAATTTACACATCCTTTTACCTATCTCCGATATGTATGTACCCAAGAAGGTTAATTATTAATCAAATTAATTCCTTTATTTTGGGATGTATCTTGTTCTGCCTTGAGCAAAATGAACATACACATATTAGTAAAAAGAGAATGTAACATCTCTTTTTTTTTAATGTAATACCATAGGATTGAAATATATTGTCATCCACGTAAAAATGTACACATCATTTTTCCTACCTCCGATACGAATGTACCCAAGAAGGTTAATTAATTATCAAAATCATTCGTTTATTTTGAGATGTATCTTGTGCTGCCTGGGGAAAAGTGACCAACCCCTGCCCCACCCAGATTTAATTAAATTTAGAAAATCTTCCACCTCATTGTAGTCGCTTCCATACCCAAACTATCATATTTTGCACTTCATATGGTTCGTTCTTATTTGTATGAGGTATAAGTGGATTAGTGATGCTATTTAGCTATGGAGTTGCCTGCACTGTTTGACTTAAACCGCATTTTCTTATTAGAATTATATTTAGAGGTTAGTTTTTACTACGTTATAAATCTAATAAAAGTATACTTTTGGACTCAAAAAAAGTAAAAACTTTTTAAATGTTAAAATATACAAGGCAAAAATGTGTGTGTGTTTTATTAACAATTTAAAAAGCAATTAATTGTATTTATTAATTTTACTTTTAAGAAGGGAAATACATTATCAGTTTTGTCATGCGCGGTTATTAAATTTTAAAAAACCTAAGAGTTTTGGCGAAATAGGATTTAAAATATTTTTTGCGCATTTAATTTATTTGATTTCCGTAAAATAATAGAAAATAACTATGATTGTTTTTAGGAATCCGAACGTACTTAAATCTTATAAGCTCTTTGGCGTTATGTCACTGTAGCTCATTCTTATATATATTATTATCACTATTATTATTATTACTATTATTACTATTATTATTATTGTTAGTATTATTACTATCACTTTACTTTTTTTATTTTTTATTTCACTTCCATTCAGAGCTTGAACAACTTACTTTGTCATAACTTTGACACATAAAACCAGGTCATTCATCAGAATGAGGCGTCTCTTCTTGGACTTTATGTTGCTGATGTCACCATTCTTGAATAAAGGTTTGCAGAACATGATGAACGTCACAAAGTTTATATTTTAATCCCTAAATTAGAAGGACTAGAGAATATTTTAATGAAGAACACATTATTTTTTTTTTTTTTAAAAATCAAATTATTCAAATTGTACTAAATCAAGACATCTGAGCTGAAATGAAGAATCCTATAAAGGTATTATAAACATATTGTTTACAATTTTTTTCTTAGTGATTTGTTTTATTCTAAAAAAGATAATTTTAAAAATATGAAATTGGGTCTTGATTTTTTTTTATTCATTAGCAAGCATCCAAATATGTGACAATCTTTAAGTCATAGTTGTCTGAGAGTCATAAATTATATTTTTAGGGCTAATAAATTTGAAAGACCCATTTATTATATACTTGAAGTCCAACACTACACAAAATATAAATATTTATAGAGAATACCGATAAAAATGAGAGAACATAGCATTTCCTACTATTTAAAGTTTTGCATATCCATAGCTAAAAAAGAATACAAGCCAAAAGAATGTTTTCATTCTAAAAAAAAAAAAATAACATTAAACTAAATTCAGTTAAATGACACATAATTGGAGAACCATTAAAGCAGCTATCTACCAAGTTCACAAGTTCCTCTCAGCTTTTAGAAAAGTTCTATTTCTTTTATTTTAACTGCTATAGTGTCGACTAAAGTTAAGTAATAGTTCAATCTACTCTAGTTCCTACCACTAGCTCCACCATATCTGCTCGCAGAAATCGCCTTTTGGTGTCCGGGTTGAGATTCAATGCGGTCAGCATGTGCTGTACTTTCTGCTTGACTATCTTGTGGACAATCTGCTGTGCCTGGAACTGCTGCTCACTCTGACGTTTGCGCTCGTTGAGCTTGTAGGCAACATTCTCAAGCTCTGTCAGAGCCAGCTGAAGTGGACGTCGGTCGTGATGGTTTGTTGGTGTGTATTTGATCAAATCCTGAAGAATATTTAAAACACAGAGTGTCCCTGCTCAAACTTTCAAAGTTAAGTCTTAAATTTATATTGTAATATAATATAGTATGTCAAAAAAGATAACCCGAATAAATGCTTCTATAACAAGATACAAGGAACAAGCTTGAACCATAATGACACACGTGAACGAGCTGATAAATATGGTTGGCATACGACATAAAGCAGGCCAAAGCCCTACATACTAAATAATTATTATATTGCGAATCTCTTTCAGAATTTTAACTAAATATCTCTAACAAAAACTTAGTGATAAACCAAATATTTTTAATTTTAGCATTTTAGAATTGCTATTTTACAATCAAACTTTATCCATGAAAATCTATGAACTTCTAATAGATTGACAGGGATGACCCTGTCCACCTTACTTGCAGAAACATGATGAATTGCGGGAATCTCTGAACAGGCTTGACCATAAGACCAAATATAGACAGTCTGTCCACTCCTTGTTTTTCTTGTTTCTGGTGAATTGACAATGACAAACAGAATCAGACGTCAGCCCTTTACGGCTCAGCTGAATTTCACAATTGTTATATCTTTAAACAAGAGCTTTCGGCAAATGAAACATTCAAATAAAACACCTATTTTTTAACAAATTTTTCACCCTCCTGCCCAAGGTTAAAAAAATTGAAATTCTTGGAAAACTGGATTATTTTATAGTTTTACTTTGATATATATATATATATATATACTGAAAGTTTAACTACAATTTGATGTTAGCAAAGTCTCTGTACTTTTTTTTTTTTTATTTGGTTTTGATTAAATGCCCATCTTTTTGTTTTAGATGTTTAGTTTACTTTTTAAAAAATTGAAATTCTTGGAAAACTGGATTATTTTATAGTTTTACTTTGATATATATATATATATATACTGAAAGTTTAACTACAATTTGATGTTAGCAAAGTCTCTGTACTTTTTTTTTTTTTAGTTGGATTTGATCAAATGCCCATCTTATTGGTTTAGAAGTGTAGTTTACTTGTTTAAATGTTTAAGTAACAGACTTTTAGTCATCTCTATTCATATACCAGACACTACATAACTTTTGGTATCTCAATCTTAGGCTTTCACTATGAAATACCTCCAGAACATGATGGCTTCAAGGAGGGACCAAGATTTCCAATACACAACCAATCTATTTTGGTTTTTTTTCTGTTTTAATGTATTTTTCGTCCATTAACTTCTCGGATCAAGTTATGGCAATTTTTTTTAAAATTATGATGATGCAGTGGGTGATGAAGAGGGAGGGAAGGTAGTCATTGTTCTGGATATTTATATAAAAGCTTTTACAACAGAAATCAGTCCTAACACAACAACCGATTGAAGCTAATAAGAAAGAACTACCATTAAAAACTCCTCAAAGGAAGACTTGTTCCTCCTCAGGGTCCTGATCTCTTCCATGGCAGCAGGAAAGTTGTTGATGTATTTACTGTAGGCATCAACCAGAATCGTCTTTGAGAACTGGTGGGAGGAGAATGATTTCAATGTAATTATGGGACTAATCATGAATGGAACAGCTGTGGCAGCTGTGTGCTTGATAGTATGTAAGGGACTAATGATGAATGGAACGGCTGCTACTTCTGGACTTGGTAACGTGTTAGGGACTACTCATGAATGGAAGAGCTGCCACTTCTGGACCTGATAACACGAGAGGGACCAATGATGAATGGAACGGCTGCCACATCTGTGTTTTGTAATATGTGAGGGACTAATCATGCATGGAATAGCTGCCCCTTCTGTGCTTGGTATAAGCAAGGAAAACTCATGTATTGATGGCCGCTGAATTTTTCATTTATAAAAAAAGATACATTTCTTCAGACAAACCCAAGACAATATCATAGCACTTCCACTCACTCAACAAGACTTATGATAAAAAGAAATTAGTTAAAACTATATATTATTTCAAAAGCATATATTTTTTTATACTGGCTAATATACCAACTAATGGAATTACTTCAGAAACCAACGTACTGAAGCAGTGAATGTGTCTCCTATCTTGTCCTCCTCATTCCACTTCCTGGCTGATTCCGACATCTCTATCTGAAACATCTTGTGGTGAGAGATGATGTCTCTCATGGGTGCAAACACATGCTTCAAGCGTGACTTGGGGTTGTGGATGAATTCAACAACTGTCTTCTCATATTCCTAATAGATGTAACATTGTTAGAGCAGTTTAGATTGGAGTTACATAATTTGAAACATAATAATAAATTTACCTATTAATATCCAAAGAAGGAACCTTAGGGAAGACAACCCCATAATTTTAATTGTATTAACTAATTTTCATCGACTCTTATCAAAAATGATCTTGATTTCTTTGTGAATAACCCCCCCCCCACCCCACCTTTTTTCCCCTGAAAAACTCCCCCCCCCCTTTCTCCAACACATCTCTGTAATATAATACTAGAGTTTCAGTACAATTAATTTTGGCCCATACTGTATTTGTAACTGAAATTATTTTCCTTATGCTCGTACAATTTTAACTGCCTGCTTCCTGTAACAACAGACTTCTACAAACCCCTTGGTGAAAAATAAGGACAGTACGGCAACACATTAAGATGGACAGGAAATCACCTTGAGGATACGCTCCAAACTTTCCAAGTAAGACTGTTCACTTTTGATGATCTGTTCGACAATCATACGTCGCTTTCTCTGATGAGAGGGACAAGGAAATTTGTGATTCTCATAGATGACTTTCAAAAGTGGAATGATGAGAAAAAAATGTCAAAGTCAAAGACATACGTGGGGGAGAAAATGACCATCCAAAATTAATTATTAGATTATTTATGATTTACTAGATTATTAATCCAAACAACTCTCACCAGCTACCTGGCAGGTGAACAGTTAAAATGGTGTTTTGCTTTGCTTTAAAAAAACTCTTTAGAAAATGCCATACCAAAAATTACAATTTTAAAATCCTGCCCTCTCCTAAATATTGCCAGTTCATGGGTCTCTTTTTGCATCTCATTGGCGGGAGGCCTGATTTTAATAAATAATTTTCAAGCTGACTGTCATTGATGCCAAGCCAACTGTCAATTTTGCAATTATTTGTTAATTATGCAAGTCCCACAGTCAATAATGCCCAACCTCAATTATAACCAGCCATAGACTCACCTCCTTCTAATAATGCCCAACCTCAATTATAACCAGCCATAGACTCACCTCCTTCTAATAATGCCCAACCTCAATTATAACCAGCCATAGACTCACCTCCTTCTAATAATGCCCAACCTCAATTATAACCAGCCATAGACTCACCTCCTTCT